ACATGTAGTGAGCGAGAGAGAGAGATAAGGTACAGTATGGTCTCCATGGGATTCTTAGGTTTCCTTACCTTTCCTATTTTCTCGCTCTCGTGCCCATTACCCCTCTCACAGTCTCTCCCTCTCGTGCCCACTACCTCTCTCTTGCCTGTCAAAAGAACTCATGCAGTCCAAGCTCTTCAATTTCTCACTCCAACAAAACAAAATCTTTCACCCATCTGTCTCTTTTGGGAGACAGGTTCATCAGTAATGCCAAAAACCTCACCTTAGATTAATATGATTTTCCTTTCTATTGAAGGCCGAAAATGACCACTGAAAATTCGCAGTGAGAAAGTGCCTTTCTCTCTCTAAATTCTCTCTCATTCTTCTAACAATTGAACCAGCACTGAGATAGAGAAGGCATGGCTCAGTAATATCAAGACCCCAAAACCCACTAAAATTATTTCGACTTCCTCTCTATTGACAGCTGAAAATAAACACAGAATGGGGCTTTGGTCATGCAACTCACATTGGACCAAGCTTGCAAGACGAGAGAGAGAGAGGGCTTCAAAGTCCTGTTGGAATATGGTGGTTTGGGGAAAGAGTGATGGTAATGGGCACAAGATAGGTAAATGGGGGATGACTTTGAGGAGGACGAGAGAGGTAGAAGTAATGGGCACGAGAGAAAGAGAGAGTTTTGGGGCTACTGGAATATGATGGTTTGGGGAAATAGAGAGAGAGGTAATGGGGTACGAGATAAAGAAAATGAGGGGAGGGCTTTAAGGAGGTCAAGAGAGAGGTAATGGGCACGAGAGAGAGAGAGTTTTGGGGCTACTGGTCAATGGTGGTTTGGGGAAAAGAAAGAGGTAATAGGAGTAGAGAGAGAAAGAGGTTGGGAAAATGGGGAGGTAAAGAGAGAGGTGGACAGGGGTAGAGATAGATTACTTAGTACCGGTATGGGGGAGAGAGAAGGGGAGACGTAAGGTCCGTGCGTCAGTTTGTATTGACAACATTAAGTGGTTTTTGAATTTGAACTGCCCATCTCAGCCCTTTAAAAAACTCCTTCACAACATCACTGTTGGCGCACCTCTCCATTAAACGCGAGCTAATGTTTTGTAGCAATTCCTATACATACATACATACATATATATATATATATATATATATATATATGGATGGGTTATATTAAGGTGCTCACATTATAGAGCATTTTATAATTGTACTCAACAAATTTTGAGCACTTATATACCCTTATTTTGTACATGGAGAATTTTTTAGTATGGATCTTTTTTGTCATTAGGAAGAACGTGACTTCATCCATATGAGGTGTGAAATCACCCACATGGAGCATTAAATGCCACTAGTGTGCTTCATGTAGGTAACATCACACCCCATGTGAATGATATCACATCCCTCTTAATGACCAAAAATACCCATACTAAAAAAATGCTCTATGTACAAAACAAGAGTATATAAGTGTCCAAAATTTATTGAGTACAATTATAAAATACTCTATAGTGTGAGTACCCTAACAAAACCCTATATATATATATATATATATATATATATAGTAGTAGTTATATAGTGTGACGACCTAACAAATAAAGTAAGTAGCGACTAACTAAACTACTACGTACGTTACGTATGTCTAGAACAAACTACTACTAACTTAC